TGAGACACCAGAAAGAGGCTTCCGACTTCATAAAGTCTCTGGCCTCTTGTGTGATTGGGGGAGTGGACCTGGCAATTGTTAGCAACGATCAAGGCAAAATAAGACTCGGAGACTTACAAAGCAGTAATAAGTTTGGCGAAAAAGACGGCCTGTGTTGGGTTACCCAGACCGCAGATAGCGGAAAAGAAAAGACCAATCAACATGAGCTTCCACTCCTTCTTGTTGAAGCTGGCGATCACCTTGATCAGAGTCCACAAGCTGTACTTCTTGGGAGTGGCCTTGGTCCGTCCTGCCAAAGCCATGGAGCTGACACTCTGGGTCGACTTGCTTCTGTTGAGCTTGGCATTGATGTCATCCTCTGGATCCTCGGGGACACCCTCCTGCTTCTGGGCGGCGGATGCCTTGCGGATGAGAGCGGCTTCTTCTTCCTCGTTGATGGCCTCCTCCTCCTCGGGCGTCATCTCATTGACGGAAGCGATAGCTTGAGCGGTAACCAAGTTGTAGTAAGAGCCGCGCTTTTCCAAAAGCTCGTCGTGCGTGCCCTGTTCAACGATCTTGCCCTGGGTCATGACCACAATATTGTGAGCATCCTTGATAGTGGACAAGCGATGGGCAATAGTGATAGTAGTGCGGCCCTCAGAAGCAACCTCCAAAGCAGCCTGCACAACACCCTCAGACTTTGTATCCAATGCGCTGGTGGCCTCATCTAAAAGTAGAATCTTGGGATCCGACACCACAGCACGAGCAATAGCAATCCGCTGCTTCTGGCCACCACTGAGGAGGAACCCACGTTCACCCACATTTGTCTCGTAGCCTTCGGGAAGAGATGTGATGAAGTCGTGCGCATTAGCCTTTCTGGCAGCCTCCTCGATGAGCTCTCTCTGCTTCTCGGGGCCCTCATTTTCCCACTTGGTACCGATCAAACCGTGGCGGATGTTTTCGTAGATAGTAGTACCGAAGAGTGTTGGCTCCTGAGAGACAAGGGCAATCTGCTGACGCAACCAACGGAGGTTCAGAGTCGAAATGTCGACACCATCCAGATACACAGTTCCTTCGATAGGCGCGTAGAATCTCTCGACCAGACCAACAATGGTCGACTTTCCACTGCCGGAAGCTCCAACAAGCGCGGTGACCTTGCCGGCGGGGATCTCAAGGGTGACGTCGTCCATAACCACGACTTCAGGACGGGAAGGGTAGATGTGCTTGATACCCTCGAGACGAATGGTTCCTTCCACTTTCTCAAGCTTGATGCCGTCGTCAGTTGAGGGATCGATCGGGGAGATGCGGTCAATGGTGCTGTAGATTTTGGCGGCGGCACCGAGAGCGGTAGTAAAAGCCTGCATGTTGGGCGCGACGTTGCCCAAGTTGAAGGCGCCCATCATGACAGCCATCATGACGATCAAGATCTTGCTGAGCGTCGTAGAGCCATCCAGCAAGAAGGCCGAACCCATCCAGAAAGCCAGACCGTAGTTCAGATAGAGGATGAGCATCATACCGGCAACCATGACGCCCAAAACGCTCTTGAGCTTGAAGCCAAAGAACTCGGCCTTGATGAGGTGGACATCATACTGCTTGGCCAGGCGATCCTGAGTGCCAAAGGCAACAGCGTTGCGGACACTGCTAATAACCTCCTCGGCCACTGAGCCACCCTGGGCGTAGGCACTGATGTTTTGCCTAGAGTACTTGACAATAAAGGTCGAGCCAGTGCCCATGACCAGCAAGAGTGCCACCACAGTACTCATAAGAATAAGAGTCAACTTCCAGTAGCTCACAAAGCCGATGACAAAGGCAGCAACGAAAGTTGCGACAGCTTGAAGCGTCAAGCCAACCTTTTCCGAAATGCCTTCCTGGATGAGATTGGTGTCGGCCGTGATGCGTGTGGTGACCTCACCAGCGCCGAGCTTGTCGAAGAAACCGATATTCTGCCTCATGCAACTCTCCAAGTAGTGCTCGCGAATCTTGGCGCTGATATGCTCGCCGCAATAGATGAACCCAACTGTCGCGATATACGATGTAACAAACTCTCCAATGGCCAAATACACAAAGTAGAGGCACAACGATCCAAGCTCGCTGGTGAACTCATCATAAGACAAGTTACTGCCGGGTGTGAAATAATCCTGAAAAGTGCCCTGGAGGTTGCCAAACACCACTGTCATCAATGGCAAAGCGGCTCCAGAGGCAATGGCGCATATCGCTGAAACAACCAGGATGATGATATCGTTGCGTGACGAATAACGGTATAATGTCGCAACTCCAACTTTGACGTCGGGGGTGTAGACTTGATCCTTCAGGATCTTGGCCTCCCTCTCGGGGAGGTGCTTGAAGGGGTCGGTTTCCTTCTCATCGTCTTTTTGTGGTGGCGCAACGACCTTGCTGTCGAGCTTCTTCAGGTCTGCTGAGGGACTGACGTCTCTGGATTCTTTATTTTCGGGGGTCTCAGGTGAGACGGCGCGGGTCGGTTCCGACTTTTCTGAGTACTGATCGGCTGCCATGGCGGCAGATGGCCTGTTAGGCGGCGCAGATGGATAGCAGCGGCGCGTTATTCACTGGCAATAAGGGGGTGAGACGCAATAAGCGACGAGCGATTGGCCCGTAATTACTCGATGACGCGCATCCAAGGTTGGCAGGTCGGTTGCTTGTATCTTTGGTCAGCTTATTACTGAAGGGGTCGTTGAAGATATTCAGAACCAAGCCAAAAAGAGCCGAGGATGAAGAAAAAGAAGTGAACGAGAAGGAAAACAGGTCAGGGCCAAGAAGTGCTAGGGACTCCGCAGTCAATTAAAGAAATGCAGCTAGCGCATCTGGGGACAGGACAGGATCAGGGAAGGAAGCAATAAAAGGGGACAAGCTGCAGTTGTCGGACACTCGGGATTTCCATGGCCGTGGTACCCACCCACCCTCAATCTGTAGGTGTCAAGCGAGCCATATTGACAAAAGCAGAAGGCCTGCTGCAACGATGCATGCAAAATATGCGCGGCCCAGCATGTTTCCGGGCCGTCCACAGAGAGTACATACATACCTCGTAGCCTTGGTGCCTTGCCACCGGCCGAAAAAGATTCCATCTGGTCTGATCGGACACTCATCGAACACTCATCGAACATCGAAAACAAAGAAAGAAGGGGACCACGGGGACTTTTTCGATATCGGTTTAGCGAATACGCCAACCGTCACCACACACGATGATCAACCCTTAAGCCTTTCGCTTTCGATCCAATTGATTCCTGAATGGAGTTAGGCAACTCTCCGAGACTTATCCCCATGTAACGACGTACATATCAACGGATACCTAACCGACCGGTCTGACAAGGCGCGCAACCTTCATTCGGTCAGCTCTTCCATACTTTTGTTGGATGGCAGTATGCGGTGTAACGGTGAAACATTTATTCTTCTCCCATTGACTCTACACGTGGAAGCTGGAAAGAGTCCGGTCAGTTCAGCGAGTGAGTCAACTACATTCACAGCCTTCCAATCCAATCGCGCCTCTGTTGGAAAGCCTCTCCCTTCCCGCAAATGACGTGGGACAAGGTCGGACTGCGGTGTCTACAAGACCCCGATCCTGACTTATATCCGTCCAACCAACCAGCTCACACAAGGCACGCAACATAACCATATCAGACAGGAGATATAATCTACTCAATCACACTTTGACCGACCCTGTCCGTTGATAACAGGTACTTCACACCAATCCTCCCGTTTCTTCCGATCACAACCATGCATCCATCGGCAAACCACAACCTCGGTATCATACTCCGTGGTTGGCGGACGAATGCAGTGTAAAAAGGAATGTGGCGGCTATAGCGGCATGCCCAGACAATCGGACAGCGGCGCCAGCGCGGCACATCGCGATGGCCAAGAAAATGGAAAATCTGGAGAACCCTTGGCCCGGTCACTTGGCGCAGTGCTTGTCAACGACCTGCAGATCGGACGATGAAGGCCCACCACCGACAATCAGAGAAGCAGTTCAACCACGTCATACCTTTGAGGCTCAATTGAAACTTTTTATCCACCATCGTTATCACATACACAACTACTCAAAATCATCAGACAATATGGTGTCTTTTGACTTGCCGACATCTCTCGCAAACAGGATGTCATGGCGACATGATTCCCGGATGACTACTTCGGGTTGTGCTTTGGGTGGCAGGAGTCCCTGAATCCAAGGGTACAATTTCTGTGCAACCCTACCATGACACAAACAGCACACAAACGCAGAGTCTCACCAGGAGATAAGGTATGGGTATCTCCAGGCTGTTTTGGTCCCAACTGCATGACACAGCCTGCGCTCGACAACGCCGTGGACATGATTGCTTTCTTTTACAGTGATACACATGATGAGAGGTACAGCTGGTTGGCGGTGCTCAACGAAAAACCGCAGTGCAACAGCCAATGTGAATATAGTAGTCTCACAAGAAGCATCAAGTATATTACCAGATAATACCAACCACCGCTCCTCGTGGCTATTACTGCTTCTGCAAGCTAGCAATGTTCCACCTAAAGACACATTAAAGACAGGATAAACATAGCTCTGACAAGCGCAACTAAACTAGCCCACCATCTAAAATCAGCTATGACAGTTTGACCCGACTACCATGAAACTCCAAATAGTTCAGTTCAGTGACCCAAATGACGTACCTTGCCCATCTCTACAACCAGTTGAAGACTTGGCTCTTTGGGCCCTTTTTCCCCATTATCCCCAAGCGCATATTTGCCGCGCGGCATCTGTTCAGGTAGTTCAACCCAGCATGCATACTCCAGAACTTCCCATCACCACACAAACAAAAGAACTTTACTTTCTACTTCACCATCCCCCTTTGACAAGTAGCACCCAAGACTCGTCCGGGAATCAAGCTACCTTATGGGTAATAAAACCCCCACTTTCCCTCCCAACATGAATCAATCAACTCATCTCTGGCAACCCAGCTGCCATGGAGTCTTAATTACAGCCAAGGCACTGTGAGTGATTGAAAGGCTGATCCGCTGGAAAATCAACAAATCAAGTTGGCCGATTGGCGCAATGGTAGCGCGTGGTCCTCCTATATTAAAGTACGAGGGGAATCAAGACTGAGGTTGTGGGTTCGAGTCCCATGTCGGTCGCTAACTTTTGCCCCCCCAGGTCTCCCTGAGACTTCTTTTCTTTTTTTTTTCTTGTTGGTTTGGTTTAACAATGGTGTTGTTGTTCTGAAGGACGAGCTGTCTGGTGGGTGGGTGGTGGTGGTGTTGAGGAGGGTGTAAGAGCAGTAGTCAGTGGTATGGGATGGGCAGCTCGAGGAGGAGGGACAGAAGAGGGGAAAAGTGGGAGAGGGCTGTGGTGAAGAGGAGGTGTCCGAAGCTGGAAGGAGAGGTTGTTTTCCTCCTTGTTTTTTTACTACTACTAGAGGTTTGGTGACATATCTGTGGGGGAACACGTTAATGAGACCTTGGTTTATGTATACTCAGAGTATGCCCTCCAGATTGTGTGACCTGCCACTGTGTCTCCTGACGACAGCGAAGGCATCTACAGCCCCATCCGCCTCAATGGACTACACAACAACCCCTGGTCAGACATTCACATCAGCTCTCGGCAGAGCTGCCGATGACGGGGACTGGGGACCAGCGCCAAGCCCGTCTTGGTCTGCCTTGGCTTCCCCGAGTCCGGCCCGCATTTCGGGAGGTCCACTCCTGATCTTTAGCACCATGGACGTTTGATGACTCGAAGAAAGTTGGCTGACATGAGGTCTGTTTGTCTGGGTGGTTCATGATAAACACCAAGAGAACATGCCTCTCGATAGTAGCGTCATCTAACCTTGCTGTCGAAACTCCATTTTGGGAACTAGGTGAAATAAAATGATAAGATGATTCGTGACTAGTGGGCTTCTGGCTGTGTGATCTGACGGCCTTTTCATTATTTTACTTTCATTTTTATACTATATGAGCCCTCTCCTCTAAGCCTTGAGGAGCTTGACCAGCTCGGCAACAACAGCATCACCCATATCAGTCGTGCTAGCCGAGCCACCCAGATCCTTGGTGCGGACGCCGTTGTCAATAGCCAACTTGACAGCAGCCTCGACCGCGGCAGCCTCCTTGGGGAGGTTGAGAGAGTACTTGAGCATCATGGCGACAGACAGAATAGTGCCAACAGGGTTGACGAGGCCCTTGCCAGAGATATCTGGGGCAGAGCCTAGAAACATCCATTAGCACCAAACAAATTCCGATGTCTTGAACGCGAGAAGAAAGCTTACCGTGAATAGGCTCATAGATACCGTTGCACTTGCCCTTGCCATCAGGGATACCACCCAAAGAAGCACTAGGCAACAGCCCAATCGACCCCGGAATAACCGACGCCTCATCACTGATAATATCGCCAAACAAGTTGCTGGTAATCACCACACCGTTCAGCGCCCTCGGGTTCTTGATCATGAGCATGGCCGCGGAGTCAATCAGCTGGTGGTTGACCGACAGCTGAGGGAACTCCTTCTCAAACACCTCCGTCACAACCTTCCTCCACAGTCTGCTCGTGGCCAAAACGTTGGCCTTGTCCAGACTCCAGACCTTGGCCGGGGGGTTCTGGCCCAGGGCCAAGAAGCCAGCCAGGCGGGCGATGCGCTCAATCTCGGGGCGGGAGTAAGGCTCCGTGTCCATGGCGAAACCGGAGCCGTCGTCCTCCTGGCGGTCACCAAAGTAAATGCCGCCCGTCAACTCGCGGACGACGATGAAGTCGGTGCCGCGGCAGATCTCGGCCTTCAGGGGGGAGGAATCGACGAGGGACTCGGAGGCGAAGTTGCATGGGCGGAGGTTGCCATAGGTGCCGAGCTCCTTGCGGAGCTTGAGGATGCCCTCTTCGGGACGGACGGGGGAGGAAGGGCCCCATTCGGGACCACCGATGGCACCGAGCAGAATCGCATCAGCGGCCTTGGCGGCGGCGAGGGCTTCGTCGGTCAGGGCGCTGTTGTGGGCGGTGATGGAGGCCTGGATGGGGGGAAGTGGGTTAGCTTTGCTGGAGCTATGACTCTGGTAATGGATGATAGCTTGACAGCTCCGGAACCGCGCTCATGTGTCATGATTCTGACACAGCTCCCAAAACCATGCCTGCTACCACATCTTGTCTCGCCATCCACCGCCAGGTTCAAGACTCGACGCTCCCGTCGCATGTTGTGATAGCTCCTCCCATCCTCACACTCCTTCCCAACCCAAAGCTCTCTTGCCCCTGCCAATCCCTCCCCCAAGCAGTAATCACAACAGAAAAAGAACTTACACCACCCAACAAGTGCTCCTGCAAGTTAAACTTGCCCGCGCTCGGCACATGCGTCTCAATCGCCTTGAGGACCTTGACAGCCTCAGCAACAACCTATTCCAAATCCCCCTCGTCAGCACACACACGCACACCTTCCAATCCCATTCTCTCCCCCTCAACATACCTCCGGACCGCAGTGATCACCCCCAAAAACAACAATATTGTGAGTCGCCATTTCAATAATTTTTTTCTTTCTTTCTCCCTCAAAACTTTCTCTTTCCGAGCGGTTTCAAGAAATGATGCAAGCGGGGTCGGATAACGTCGGGCTGCTGGGGGGGGGGGGGGGGGGGGTAAAAAGTGAAAAAAGGATTCTCAGGCCTGCCGTACGGGGGAGCAACCTAATAGCTATGACGTCGAAGCCAGAAAATCCGCAACAGCCCAGAAAAAATACAAGCTCAATGGGGAGAAAAAGTATAAACCTCAAATGTTTTGAATAATCGGGGGTGAAACTGGTTAAGTTACCCTTTTGAACTTGCTCGCTCCCCCAGCCCCAGAAAGCTTGCTTGAATCACCAATTCAAACCCCCGCCTTCCGAAGTCGGACGGAATGTGTGGAATTGTACCGAGCGCTCTTCGGCCAACTCACACAGCCCGCCCCGGTCCCCCCAATCGCAAATGTTCGGGGCAATTAGGACTCGCGCAATTCAAGGGGGGGGGGGGGGATGAATGTGAATCACAGGTTCCGCTTCCGGCATACAGACCTCGGATGTGATCATCGTGATGAGACACACATGGCGTTTATATTTTTTGGTTACCAGAGTATACAGCGGCCCGCAAACTTGTACCCCCGTGGGGGGCAGGGCACTTACTTACCAGGTCATAGGGACCGGCTCATCCGGCCACGACATTGATCATGACCATAGATTTTTGTCAAAAAATCTCAAGATTGAGTAACAAACCCTCATGTAATCTAATGCTGTGTATGTGCGTGTTTCTGTCGTGTCCAGGAACCCCCATTACACAAGATAAACTGAACTGGGTCTCTCAGTATCACTCAAAAATCACATCAGTGACAAAAACCCAAATAGCGGAAAAATATGATGGCTGCTGACATTTCACGAAACTATGTCTGCTAATAACTGGTGTCTTGTCCATGCGTTATCCTCCCACCATATATTCCCTCCAAAAAAAAATCTTTTTTTTCTGTTTTCTTTTTTCCCTTTCTCTGCTGGTTTCCGCTTGATCAGCGAGGACGTCATTTGCCCATGAAAAGCGCGAGGTATGCGTGGTAGATAACCATACTCAGGATCGGTTAGTCGTTCGTTGTTGTGTGTCTGTAACCCCTTGCCATCCTGTCCATCATCTTGCGGATCTGCTCATTCCTCCTTCATCTCTACACCCCCCACCATTTCCCCTCTTCGGCCTCTTCCTGCCCGTCCAATCACTTTCTTCTTCTTCACCTCCTTCACCTGCCCCTTGCGTGGGCTTCGCCTATACTCCGCCTCAACATCCCACATCTACCCTACGTCCGTCGTTCGGCCATCTCCAACATCAAAGACATGCCCAGTTTCTTTACCCTCGACAGAGAGCATAAGCGCCACTCAAAATCATCACCACCGCCACGGATCCCTCGCCACCTTACACCCATCACCTGTCCACCCAACTGTCCGAAGCATCCTCCTCATCCAATCTCCTACTGCCTCCTCAGACATCGTCCAATCCCATTCTCAAACCCGGATTTGAAAAGACACCCCCGCTTGGCCCCTTGAGAACTGTCCATACTCCCCCCCCTCTCCTCGCTCCAAACCGAAAAAAAGCAGCATTTGCCCTCCGTGCCGCCACCACATGTATTAGTAGTAAACAGGATAGAAGGGTAGTCCGAAAAACTCCTTTAGCCACAAAAGGAAACAAAAAGAGCAAGAAGATAGGTACAGTTTCCCACCCAATATTTGACCAAAAAAACAACAATAAAATTCCCGGTTTGGTGGAGTGCAGTGGGGTATCATTTTGAAAACAACAACCCAGGTGCTTCACAATGCTTCAACCTCAAAACTGATGAGGCCGGTGTGGTCAGCCCTTTTTGTGACCATGTTTCGAATTAACGACGATGAACCGAAGAGAAAAAGAGAAAGACCGAATGATGGTTCGCTTGCTGGCTGGCTGCAACGTATCGTGGTGGGTGATGATGATGTCGATGAAGAAAAAAAAGCGAATGATGATGATGATGTCGTTGTGATCGTGATAATTCGAGAAGGGCGGGGTAAGATTCGGAGAGGCCTAAGCCTCACATGTTTCCAGCAGGAAAACCATTTGTTTCCGAATCCGACCCCTCGTTTTGAATTGAAGATGCCCGCCATGCTCGCCTGCCAATGTAGTTGAGAACCCGGAGAAACCCATCGCTAAAAGCCCCAATGCCATCCTCGCCGCCCTCGGTGTATCGTAGTAGAAGGTAGCCGTAGATATGAGAAAAATCTATAACGTCTTCTTCTTCTGATAAACCACCCGTTTGTTGTTCGCCTCAAAAACTCGGCATCAAAAGGGGTGAGGAAAAGGAAAGTCAAAGCGACTCCTTCTGATCAAAACAATGATGCCAAAAATCCAGACGATTGCTCCTGAAAATGAATGAAAAATCAACTCCCAAGGGACCGACCATATCCGAATCATGATAGTAAAAGAAGCCCAGAAACCCGCAACGAGCCGCCGGTCCTCTTTTCCCAGGAGACCAAGTCCGCCGCCGTATCGCACTGAAAGTCCTGAAATAAATCGTGATCGCCATGCGGTTCCTGGTGTCGTAGAAAAACAAATACCCTAAACGCCCGGAATGGAGAAAAGTAACAAAACCAGTAACATGGAAAGTAAATGAAACAAATGAGACACCCTGCCTC